ACCTTTAACCACCAAAATTTAAGAGCATCAATCACATTATTGTTTAAACCTCTCTGCAAAATTTTAGAAATTTTCGACCAAAGGCACAGGAGTTATTAAGTTTCAAATTGGGTGAACAAAATCGTGCCTCCACACGCACTAACAGCCATACATATAGAAAAAAAACCTGAATTTTTTTCATTCCTCGACGTTTCAAGGTGCTCCTAGTCCAAACTTGACCAATCGCCATACTTTATCACTGTTATATTTAACAGCCGGAAAAGTAATAATCAAATCATGATCTTTAGGAGAAATGATAAACTAAAGAAAACTGATAAATTTTTCTCAAGTTTTCTTAAGATCTTATCCCTTATCTTAAATACTTAGGCGTATATTCTTTGGTGTACTCTGCTTCATTTCATAAAACAATTAATTACTGTATTAAAACATTAAAAAATAATTTAAACTCCTCTGGTACTATACATGCTCATCACTTTATTTTCGAGAAAACAGCCATTCTCACGCTTTCAATTGATACTCTACAGTCGACGACAAACAGTTTGGTGTTGCTGTTGATACTCTATTAACCTCTACTCATTAAGATATTCCAAGATTATCTTCCTAATCAGCTTAGTCCATCTGTTGCTACTTTATTTTCCTTACCTTTCATAAATGTAGTCGACCTGTTTCATATTGCATTGTTATACCCAATTACCATGCCTACATTCGACTTCTAATAACTCTTCTATTAAACTTCTTTAATTATGGCTTACTGAGAGCTTGTATGTATCCTGAGCAAGAGAGTGTCCCCTTTCTCCCCTTAGTAGGCCCTTTTTGATATTTAAAAATATGAATTACATAGAGTGTTGCTTTACGAATAAAAAGCAATCATAAAGACCTTATTTTCTGTTAATAAAAATTCCCAGTTCCCCCTTCTCAATGTACTGTACGCTTTTTTAAGAAATTTTTAAAAATAAGTACAGTAAAACCTGTGTAAACCGGACTCGCATGATGCCGATTATTTTTTACAGTTTGGCAAACTTTCGTTCTGAACAGGTTTATTTTAATACAGAAATTTGCTGTGTTCCTAATAATCTTTCTCATTTAGGCAGGTTTCCGTCTTAAACAGGTTCATTTTAAACACAGAAAATCGCCGTGTTCAAAAGAATTTGTTCCGTTTTATACAGGTTTTACTGTGATAAAATTTTTAAAAGTTTCTAAACTTTTTTTTATATAAAAATAGCACATATATTAGTACACAATTAAAATTTTTTTTAGAATTTAACCCCTTTTTTTGAGTAATAAATTACTTCTTAGACACTTTAAAAAAGTTTTTAGAAAATTCTATTTATTTTTAGTAACGAAGCACATTTTTTAAAGAATTTTTAAATGATCTCAATGTTAAAAATAATAACTTAAATGATATTAAATTTGTATAATTTAATCAAATATTCTATTATCATTTGATACAATTACAATTTTTTTCCTCTAATACTTTCAGCTGTCTTTTAATTTATTGTGTTTTTTTTTTTTTTTAAATTGAATTTGTACAAAAATGGCAACTGAAAATGAAAGAAGATAAATGATTTGTAATGTTTAACTGTAGCCTTGCGTGAGATTTATTTGTCATTAATTTTAATGTAAAGAAATATCCTTTATTAGATTTTACAAGCGTAATGCCAATTGTTATATTGAAGGGAAACATTTCTACAGATTTTTTTTCTCTCCTCCGTGATTTAAACATTAAAAATAATAATAATAATAAATTTTTGTAGATATTTATCTTAATCATAAGTTTATAAACGTCGAAAAGTATTAAGGTTGTTTGATATATAATTTATTTTATTTTATTTTTTGAGGGAATGACACATGATGTTGTTAACAACTAACAACAGATGGCGATAGTTAAAAATTTTAATTTTATTTTTAAAAAACACAAATATATTCTGTTGTTTTTAATTTTTTTTAAAACAATTTTATTTTCGTTTTATAAAAATATAAATTTATTTTCATTATTCATTTTATTTTTTTTTATTCTTCAAAAAACACTATATGGTGTATTTTTTTATCTATTTAAATTTTTACTGAAAACATATATGAGTTAAATTAATTTTCATTTTAAAAATTGTTTTTTTGAGAAGTGTCAGTCATAAACAAATATTCTGGCATTATTTTACATACAAAATTAATATAGAAACTTGTTGAAGATCTCACTTCTACAACTAGGTGCTCTGCACCAACTACACCCCTTTCCTTTGATTCCTCATCCCACCGATCACACCTTACCCATCATGATCACTCTACCCTTCATCATTTTCCTACTTCTTCGATTATCATCCTATTCTTTCGATCACCATCCTACTCATCCGATCATCACCTTATCCGTCCGATCACCGCTGTACCTATCTACAATTGAATTAAAGCATTACCAGGATTATAAATGGGAATTAATGGAGCAGACACTTCACCCCTTTTGTCCACTAAGCTTATTTAGGCTTATATAGATATACATGTACAGTACCTGTACACACGTAATAAAATAATATGTGGATTTGTGAAACTGTTCCTTTCATTTGTGTTTATTCCATGATAACAATATCCCGGCACTGGCTGTGTAATAATGAATACTATACAGTACATTATTCTAAAAATGCAGAAGTGTACTAATTTTTTTTTATTTTTAATTTTATAAAAACGCATAAATTACTTTTACTTTTTAAACTTCTATAGGCATAAAAAATATATTTGAAATTACTTTTATTTTTGTTGTCTCTATAAAAATACAAATACTTCCAAAAATTATTTTAACTTTTTTTTGCATTTTTAGATAAAAATATACTAAAATGTTGCTTTCATTTTTTATATTTGAATATTTTAAAAACAATATATAATAAAATTCGTTTTAATTTATTATTATTTTTTTATTAATTTATTAAATTTACTTTTATTTTTCAACTTATTTGTTTTGAAAATTCGAGTATGCATTATCATCAATTGTTTTAATTTTATAAAAACATAAATGTGTTTTATTTTTGAATGAAATTGTATTTTTTTTTACATTTTAAATGTATTTATAATTATTTTTAATTTCTTTTTCTAAAAGAACAAATCATTTTCTTGTTTTAAAATTTCTAAAAACATAAAAGTCTATTAAAATGACTTCAATTTTTTGAAATAGAAAAACACAAATAAGCACTGAAATTCATTTAAATATTAAAAGAATTTCTAAACATGCAAAAATAAGTAAAAGTAAAATAAATTTAGCACATTTTATTTTACTTTTAATTTATTTTATTTTATAAAAAAGTAAAAAGTTTACTGAAATTACTTTCATTTTTAAATTTTATTTTGTTTTCTAAAAAAATACAAAAAATTGTTTCTCGTTTTTGAAAAAGGCAAAAGATCATTTTCAATTTTATAAAAAGGCAAAAATTTTATTTTCAATTTTCAAAATAACATTTTTACTTCGTTTAATTTTTTAACGACATAAAAATATAGAATAAAGTTTTATTTTTTTTTTTTAAAAAAAAGCAAACTGTTCTAAAATTTATTTTAACTTTTTAAAAATTTCTTAAAAATACAAATATATTTTACGATTAACTCAATATATTTATATTATATATAAAAGGTCACCTTGACACTTTTAACAAGGTAAGTAATAATTATTTACTTTAATTTTTTAAAAATAAAATATTTAATAATTTTTTCTGAAGACATTAATTAAATAAAATTTAAAATAAATTAATTATAAGATGTTTTGTATTAATTAAAAGAACCTATTTTTTTGGAATTTTCATAATTATTACCATGTATAAATCACACATTAAATTTTTAAGAAATTACTGTATATGTTTTTAGATTGAAGAAGACTTTATAACTAATATTTATTTAATTTATTTATATATTTTTTATTAAAAGAATTTATTCTATTAATTTAATTATGTTTTTTAGATAATTTTAAATGTTTTATGAATTTAAAAAAAATACAGAAAACACAATTTTTTAAATATTATTTTCATTTTAATATCACTCATTTGTCATACTTTTTGAAATTTTTGTAATTGTTATTATCATAATTACCATTATTATCGTCATCAAAATTGTTTAATAAATAACAATCATTTACATAATTAATTATAATTAATTAATTCAATTAATTAAAACAATTTTTGTTGATTATAATTAACAGCTTCATTTATAAAGTTAAAATTTATGACAATTTATAAAATAAATTAATTAATATATTACAAATAATTTACAAAATGTATTGTCATTTTTTTACATAGAAATTTTGCATTAAAAAATTACAATAATTTAATTCTGTAGCATAAACAATTAACGATTTGTATTATTATTATATATAAGTTAATAAAGAAAACAATTATTTATCATTTCAAGATTATTTTTACATTTTTACATTTTTTTTTTGTTATTTCTGAATTGAATTTTCGTTCGAAATTTTATAAATACAATTATAAACGTGACAATTATCTTCCTGTGTGAACACGAATACACCAGGTCCATGTGACCTACCATAATAGCTGTGCAGACACGTGTTATGTGTGATATGTGTGCCTCTACTCATTAAGATATT